GGGTTAAGTGAGAGGAGAAGGATAGTATTGGATGAAAATTGAATAAAGGGTTGGGAACGTCCCTACAAAACGTCTTGCAACCCTGAGGGGAGTCAATAAACGTATTTATTAACTCGGGAACGGACGCCTGGCGTGATTTTTACACGCCAGTTATTGAAGCTAACGTCATAGTAATTTTAATATGCTACTATCGTTCTTTTAATATCTTTTGGTTTCTCCTTACTTTTTTCAAATAATGTTGAGTAATGAGTAAATCTATACACATATTGTTTTCAAATACTAATAAATTATAGAATAATAAAAAATATGTGATTAATAACAATAACTTTTAATTGGGATGTAAAAATTATCTCAAATCAGGTGCCCATTCTTGGATTAACTATAAGATTTTTTTACAGTCTTTTTTACCATCGACTCGCAAGGCGTACATTTTCGCCCTAAGTCCAACAAATTCGGTCATAATGGCACCGTTGTTTTCGTCCTTCATCAGTCCCGGTACTTTTTTTTATTGACGAGTGGCATAGCATAAGCGTTATCTACCGCGTAATCACTCGTGTCGAACCTGACTATATTACGTTTCTTGTTCTCGTACGCGTCGTCGCATTCGATATGATAAATCAGACTGTCCGTGTCGGTATACATGATTCTATACACGAGTCGCGGTACAGGGGAGACATGTACTCGTGGTGAAATTCGTATAGGCACACCTTCGACAAGTAGAGGATGCACATGCCGACGTAGATCGGTTTATCGAATTTCACCTCGAGTTTGCGCAGTTCAATGGCTACCAGATTTTCCGAAAACACGCTTCTGCTGTGGAAATTCGGTCGCGCGATTATTGCCTTCGCGCCGTATCGTCCGTCCCACTTCGTCAGTAATTTTACATCGACGTGATTGCGTACATTCTCCATTGTTTTCCCAAAAACTGCGTTATTCATTAATTTATATAAAGTTTTTTCGAACTCATTTTTGGCCAATGCGTTCCAAATTTTGTATTGAGTTCGATGTAAGAACGGAGCCACGCAGATTGAGCGAATTGTAATACGCGATGTATTTTTGTGCACTGCATCTGCACTGCTGCAGATTGCGATAATGGATGACATAACGCTCCTTATCGTGCAGTGTGGCGAGAAGTTTGTCCTGCCGTTTGCCTGGCGGTTTATCGCGCATCGGACAGAACGGTAGGTCAGTGTGCGCGTCGTGTTTATCCTACGGATATTATACTCGAGATCGACCTCGAAAATATAGCCCGTAGGCGAATCCAAAGCGATCGCGCTAAAGTCGAAATTTGACGCGTCTTCGACCCATCGAAACTCCGCGTATAGGCCAGTCAAATTAGACATTCTGGTATGAAAGTGATCCGAACTTTTTTATTCCTTTTTAGGCGTGTTGGGGGTGTTTAGAAAAGCTTATTTTTGAGTTGTCGTATCATGAGACCCAGAGCTTTTTGAGGGGGGGGGGAAACTAATTTTTGACGAATCGAAACGAGTCACCGCTCATTTTCTTAGTTTTTTCAAGCCCTACAACTTTCTCAGGAGCGAAAAAGTGCTATCTATTAATCGAAACGAGATAAATGCAAAAAATTTTATTTTTTGGGGGAACTAAAATTTTCGTTTTTTCGCAATAACTCGGCGAATGTTGATAAAAAATGAATGACTAACCCCTCATTTTGTAGCTGAGGAGCAAAGGTACATAATATTGCTGAGGTCGTTCGGCGGGGCATAGATGCAGAAAATTATAACGAACATGTAATTTTCGAAAGTGTCCTTGTCAAATCTTATTCACCTTGAAACTTGTTTGCTAGTTAGTTTTTAATAGATAATTTATGAAAAAACGTTTCTTACATCTGGCAAGCGGGACAAAATTGTTCTTACAGGTTGTAAGCAATGACATCACGAGGGTGATGTCAAATATTATTCACTTTGAAATTTATATGAGAGGTAAGTTTGAACTATAAATAATACGGAAAAAAAATTCTTACGGCTTGAACGCGGACCAAACGAGTTTTTACACTGCTTTGAAACTAAAAATTAAGAGCGCCCACGACGCTCTTTTGCTGCAGTGCACACACAGTGATTTTTCTTTAATGTAGTATGTTAGTATATAAATCGGGTTTGTCACTTACGAACATGCAAAATAGATGGACAATACAATGTGGAATAATTTTTTATTGTATATTATTCATTCTTTTTATTAAAGTAATACGTATAATGTATAAAATCAAATATTCTGAATCTCATCGTCACTGTCTGAACCCTCAAAGGGAAGTTCAAATTGATATCTGAATAATTTAATTCTAAATAATAATAATAATAATAATAATAATAATTTAATTCTTTTAAAATTTTGGATTTATGTTGTCATCTGAAAATTTATTTAGCATAGGGGTGTCGACAAAGTTACAATTTTAGTCCTTTGATTTTTTACTTGCAATAACGTGAGATTTTTTATTTTTATCGAAGTAGTTTCATGAAAAGAGGGTTTTTAACTATCCAGTACACTTTTTTTCTTATTTAAAAACTATACATACCCAATATACTGCTATGCAGCTGAAATTGATATTTTTATTTAAAAGAAGAATCAACCAGGTTACGAATATGTATATATGAATATAAATTTATATTAATCATAGCGAGTTCAATAGAAAATTACTATATTTTGTATTGTTCATCTATTTTGCATGTTCATAAGTGACAAACCCGATTTATATACTAACATTAGAAGAAAATTACCGTGTGCGCACTGCAGCAAAAGGTAGTTCTCCGGTCCTTATACTAGAGAAAATCTACTATACTAGAGATTTTCTTGAAACGGTGAATATACGTTAATTTAGGTGTGCTTTATGCGTGGTATAAATTTTAGTACCTCTTTCGGTATAAACAATCAAGATACTGAGTCTCAAAGTTTCAATTTTTACTAATGAAAAAGTTTTCCAGGCCAGCTAAGAGATACGAGGTTGGCCAAAAGAGGACCAAAGTTGCTCCTCTCGTCGAGTTCTATAAGGAAAAAATCCCAAAATTAAAAAAAATTAAATTTTAATATTTTTTTGGTAAAAATTGAAACTTTGAGGCTCAGTATCTTGATTTTTTATACCGGAAGAGGTACTGAAATTTATACCACGCATAAAGCAAACCTAAATTAACGTATATTCACAGTTTCAAGAAAATCTATAGAAAATCAATTTTCTCTAGTATACGGACCGGAGAACTATCTTAATTTTTACATTGTTTACAACCTGTAAGAACAATTTTGTCCCGCTTGCCAGGTGTAAGAAACGTACTTTTTCATATATTATTTATTAAAAACTAACTAGCAAATAAGTTTCAAGGTGAATAAAATTTGATACACCCTCTGCTTTTTTTTCCACTCCCCCACAGAGTTTGTCCCACCCTCCAGGTGGAAGAAATGACTTTTCAATATTAGAAGGATGTACTCTATCGAATATATAAGGTTTCCCGGTGAATAAGATTTGACACAAATTTTGTGTTACGGGCTCCCGGTCTACGAGTGATTTTCGTTGCACATCCGTCGATTTTCCACCTCTATCTTCTTCTTCACGCAAAGCACTGGCGATATCATCTAATAAATGGTAACCATAGAATAAATGGCCTATGTATATAAAGTCATCGCTTTCTTCGATTTCATCGATTTCACTTTTATAGTCCAGTGACCACGAGCGATTATTGTCAAACGTCATTTCTTCTTGCTCACTGTTATGAAAAAATAAAAATGTCCACGTCGCGAAAGCTAATGTTTTTTTCGTCGACATTCGCCGTAATCCTTAATCATCGGAGCGGGGCCCTCGATGTGTGTTTACTGCCACGGTTGATTGTAATGTTCGTCACAGCGACGATAGGTCTGAACCTCCAAATCCACCTTGATATGCTCCGGAAGCTTATCCCACACGTAGTGGACGTGATCGCCGCACATTTGCAAAAGAACGGTTTTCGGCACGAATTGCAGCTGTTCAGCGTTAAAATCGCGAATGTCGGAAGATCTCGACAGCAGGACGAACATCTTTGCGACTGAGCGATAAAAAAATCTCTTTTACACAGCACTTGCACGTGATAATGTTCAACCGTACAATAACGAATAAACCTCGATACTTTTCAATCGATGTATCACTCTCAAATCATACTACTGCGGCTCGACGCGCTTCATCCCTCGTTATATACCCTTTGCCCTCTCTCTCACTCCAAATGATTTTTGAAAGATCATTTCTTCCTTTGTTTTACGTACTGCGTCGTAAAAAATAGTGCGAAATTGTTTAGTCTACGCGATAACACCCCCTTTTCCTAGAAAAATTTGTTTACGACGAACATGTTTCGACAAGTTCGATGCGTTATCGGGTTGATCATAGTCGATGACGTCATTTCTTCCTTTGTCTTTTACGTACTGCGTAGATTGTTTTTTTAAGTATAAATTATACTATATTTTCTTTGCGCGCATTTCCATTCGAGCCGTACTATATGCGACGTCCGCCGGAGCATCGGCGCCTCGCTTCTATGTTACGGTATGCGATATTTGTTTGTAAATTCAAGCAGCCGGACTTCTAGCAGACGTCGGCGCTCGCCCTTGTAGCGCGAGACGTATTTTATCTTACTTTTCGCTGGAAGCGACTATCAGTTTTATACACCGCCATTATAATTTTCTCTGACGACTTCTCCGTTCTGCAACCGTCATTGAATTCAGTCTCGTCGTGGTCGCGCAAAGTGGTTTACGTGTTTTTTTTTACGAGTTTTTTTTGCGGCCTATACTAACTACTGTCATATTCAGTACTACACGCTCCGTGATACCGAGCAGATATACACATCAAGAGACACGGTAGTGTCTCGTGCCAATATGTATAATGTCGTCAAAGCGGATGTGGAAGCATTTTACAACATTAAACGATAATGAAGTAAAATGTAAGCATTGTACAAGTGATACCATTATTAAGAAAAAATTTTCCACTGCAAAAAATCACTTAATTGAACTTCATTATACGCATATTGAAGAAGATGTGGAAAAATGGGAAAACGACACCTACCCACTTTGGCGGCATTTCTCAAGAAAAGACTGGTATATTGCACGTTGCAATATACCTCTTTGTGGAACTTTAGTTAAGAGTGCAAATAGACAAGTTATAGAAGGACATTTAAATCGTTGGCATAAAAAAGAAGTAGCTGCAATACAAAAAGAAATTACTCGTACCTGGTCGCGACATTTCACATTCGAAGACTCTTATGCAACTTGCAAATTGCAAGATTGCCGTAACAAAATTAAAATGTATCGAATAGATGTCTTAAAATTTCACTTGCAATTTTTTCATAATATAAATAAATACTCAGGATGTGAAAAAAGAACTGGAGATAATAACGCAGATGAAATGATACAACAATCTGTTGATGAAACAAGTTATGCCGGTTCTAGTTCTCATGATAATACACATCCCCAATCTCTTGGAAATCAAGAAGATGGTCGAATAATACAACAACCTATATATGAAATCACATTCCCAATCTCTTGGAAATCGAAAAGGTCAACAAAGGTAAATATCTAAAATATTAGTCTTTTACGTATCCTGAATTAATATATTTTATTGTATACAACATATATAGAAAATTTAATATCTAACATTTAAGAAAATATAAACACTGTCATATAAACATCAGTCTAATATTTAACGTATGTCTTTTATAAGTGTTATAATTATTTGAGTTAAACAATGTTATTTGAACAAGCTTATATTAAGTTTTGTTAATTCAAGTATGCTGTCACTTATTTATTATCTAATAGTCAGTGATTGATAGATACTCTCATAAGCAAGTAACTGTGCAAGTATAACGGAATTTAAATAGGAATTGCGTTTAAACATTCCATTTTAAGATATGTTAATAATAAGAGTCACAGTTCAATAATCAAATAACATACATGACTGCAAAATATGATCTTATAATTTTAATTTCAATAGTACTTTTTCGATTTTCTAATCACTCTGTGTATACATGCATGTCCTATTGTAGCGGACAACAATCATCTAGTTGGCCTTGTCAAATCTCGAGGCCATTTTAAATGTAACATCGGCAGGACCAACATTCTTGACAAAGATATTGGAATATATCGATAAATGTACATGACGAGGAGTTATATTTTGCACTATTATATAACATTAATTATCTTACGAATATAATTTACTAATTTCTTTATTAATATTTACTATTTAAGTATTGCCTTTTTTATAATTAATATACTAATTCATTTATATATCTTATATAACGTTTCATGTAATTTAAAAAAACATATTAGTGTTACAACAAGTATATACATATATATATTAAAATTGTAGAATATATTCTGATATTATAATATTAACAATGTTTAGAATAAACTACAATTCTTAGTCATGTTCTGGATTTATAATTATTTGGATATTTGAATATTAGTATTCGTATTCTCTAATATTAAAATTCGAATATATTTATAATTTTAGTCTAAACGTAATATCTATTTTTTGTAAAATCAATTATTATCTATAGAATTTGTAGAAATAATCTTTAAATATACTACACCTAATAATAATATAATTCTTACACACAAGATTGTTATTGAAATATGCTTTAGTAAATATTGTTTATATTTGTTCAACACTGATATATGGAAATTAATCGTAAAATAAAAAATAGACACATTAATTAAAAGGATTATAGATATTTAAGAAAATTATTTTATATATTTGATCAAACTCATAATTAATTAAGAAAACATATTACAATATGTAATTTATTTATTCTTGATCTGTAACGTTAATCATTTTGATAATTATTTATACTAGATGATGAAATATTAGTCATTCTTAACTATCTAATATGTTATACATTTTCAAAAGACTTAATGTGGATCTATTTTTTCATTTTCAATTGCAGTTTTTTATTTACATTTTATTTACGTTTTTGAGAAACTTGCGTAACACAAATATTAGCGCAAAATTTTTTGGTATATCTAAAAATTAAATTTGCTAGTACTAATTATAAAATGATAAAATTAAAAATTGTTATTAATACATTAAAGGACATTCTCTACATGTAATTAGTAAACTAGTAAAAATATATCAATTACAGCAATTAATAAATTACATAACAACATAATTTGTAGGATATGTTAAACGGATATGCGAAATGTATAACGAAATTTTGTATTAAAGATTGTTATTAAAGTTGCTGCAAGTATCATTAAATGTTATTGATTTTCCAGTTCTAATATCATTATCTAGGTAGCTCTTACATAAATCTCTAGCTACTTCAATATACAAGTATGAGCTTATATTCCTATAGTATAGAATGTATCATCCAAAAATTATTATTTTATTTTAATAAAAAAAAAAGCGTTAAATGCACGCGCCAGTGCGAGAAACTGTTATACATTAAATAAGTAAATATACACGTTAGAACATAGTTATGAAAACAGACCACCTAATTTTTAAAATCCTATTTTCTCATTTTATAATATTCTAACAAATTATTTTATTACAGTAAAAAGTGATGCTTACATTTTTAATTTGTGTTGGAAATTGAATTGATAACACATAAGCGGTTTTAACATTGGTGTCCGCATAATAAGAGTAAGCGTATGAAACTTACTCAATGTCAATGGTTAACTGATTTCTGCTCTGGACAATTTCAAATCATCAGACGTAGACTTATGCAAATGAGTTTATTTAACTCGAATTATATATACATATGTATATATAGTCGCGCCGCGTTAATCGTCGTTCGCCAAGCATATCAAATCGAGCACATTTACGCTCATATTCGATCCTCAAATCGCATGTATCTCACTATCTCACGATAATTAACTCGAACAAAACTTTGTACGAAGTTTCTCGGGGACCATCAAGCGACAACGGGGATATCGTTGCCTGTAGAATATTAAGAGACACTCAGAGGGCCGAGGGCCCACCGCTTTATGAATATCGAATGAGAACGCGCGAGGGACTATCGCGGGAAAAGCTTTCGGTTTCATAATAAATTGAGATCGGAGAAAGAAAGAAGACGAAAAAGGGATCTTTAAGGAACTGGGGAAGAGCAGGAGGAAGAGGAGGACGCGATCTGTTCGGTAAAACAGTCGACTGGCTGCCGATCGTTAACGAGTAAAGAATGGTAATATTATGCTTGGCGGATACGAGAGGATCGGGGTTTCACGCACCCCAAATCGAGGGCGGGGACAACACAAATCAGGACGGGACAGTCGGATCGCCGTGGATGGATTAATTATTGGTTATGGGACCTCGTTTGTCGTTATCTGTCTCGTCCGAGATCGCTGAAATTCTATAAATAATTTTAACTGAATGACAAATCTGCGTTTGACTCATGGGCCTTAATGTATACAAGATGAGGCACTTAAAATGTGACAAATTAATATCTCCAGAAACGTACTGGTCTTGAAACAAAACGCTTCAAATGTTTGCAGAATTTTACCATTTTTAATAATAGTATATAATATATAATGATTTTATTATATATAAAAAATGATTTACCTTATTATTATATTTATAATTCCAATATATATATAGTTCATGTATCTGTAAAAGAAAAATTTTGAAACATTTATTATTTTTCACGATGTATTTGTAACAATACTATATCGATTACTATTCTCTTAAAAATATAGCGGTAATGCAGCAGTAATCTTCAACTTTCAATAATACATACAATAATACATTCATATATATTTAGTTTATGATTCGATCTCGCCTATTCCTAGCGAGGTCAAGTTGCCAGGAGTCGGTTCGTCAAGTCGGATCGGCCGGACGGTCGATTCCTTCAGACACGCCCCGAGAAAGAGATCGCGTAGCGGGGTCCGATGGGAATTTTAATTTAATTAAGACAGACCCGTTATTAAGAGGCACGTCCGGCTAGTTGATTAGAATTCCTCCGAGGCCGTCCGGGATCGTAAGTCACTCGCGGATTAGTAATAGACAGCTTGCAGGAAGGCACGGTAGACTTAATTTATGCTCAGATGTGAGATTAACTTAAGCTATTTTCCATAATTGTTACATGTGATATTACTGTGTACAGAGACTTCTTATATACCGTTATATACCTATATATACCATTTCCAACTGATCGATTTGCAAGATCCAAGTATCAGCAACTCGGTTTTTTGCGCGACTTCTTAAATCTTTTTTATTTTTCTTGTTTTAATTGATATTTAGGAATATTTTACATTGCCTTCAAGTCATTACCAGTAATTAGAAGTTCCGATCTTTCAAGACCTCCAATAATTGCGATATCACTCGTCAGGAACTTCGAGTCACCGCAAACCGACCGGTACATTGTTATCTTCGTTGCAATATAAAAACGACATGTGAACTTCCCTCAAACTTAATTTACTACTTAATTATCGTTTTGATTAATAATGATTATTGGTCGATACTTTTTCACATGTTTTATCTTGTATATCGACCAATTAATGACAGTAGAACAAATTAAGAAAATGTTTATTTGATATATTGATAACTATTCGATACTCATTTAAGTTTCCGTAAAATTTGTAGCAATTTAATATATTTGAGACGGAGTATTGATGATATTCTTCGAGTGCCTATCAAACGCTCCATAAAAGTAACAACATCGCGAGGCAGAATTTTAAAAGAAAATTTGTAATATTTTCTAGAGACAAATATCTTTTAGGACCACCTCTTAGGACCACCGCTATTTTCGCGTGCGGGGTTAATCGATTCCAATACCTTGCCGGACCACGAAGCTCCACGCGAAACGGAAAGTAGGAAAAAAAAAAAGAATAAGACAGGCAGATGTAGAATCAGCCCGCGTGACGGGAAGAGAAGATTCCAAATAATTTTATCCAATTATACTTTAACGACCAGTTCTCCATTGACCGGTCTGACAAAATCCCAATGTCCCGTGGCAAAATAGTAGAGAGAAAGAGAGAAAGAGGGAAGGCAATGCAATTAACATAACAACAAGCACGATACTCAAATAATTCTCACTCCGTCCGAAACGCGCGCTTCAACGAACAATAACATGCGCGCTCGGGGGACTCTCGTTTTATTTATGTGTTTG